AATGCCTAATAAATGCTGCGTTTATGGTTGCTCCTCAAATTACAAATCAAAAGTAAAAGATAATGTTTATGTCACAATGTATAGATTCCCCTTTAAATCCGGGGATCGCGAGTTATGGATTAAAAAACTTCCAAATGCAAACTTTGTGTTTACAGATTATAAGCGAATTTGTGCTCAGCACTGGCCTAAAGATGCAGAATTAAAAAAAGCCAAAGGTGGTAGTTTTGTTCCAGTGCATCCTCCATCAGTCTTTAAAGGTATACCAGTGTCTTGTATTCCAATAGTGTCTAGAAAACGAGATGTCACTGGGTTGATATGACTGAGTTGATATGCTCTGAAAGAAATATTTTACCTGATGAGTTCGAAAACTTCAAAAAAATGGATGTTATTCAATTTAATACAATTGTAAAAAATTTGAAGTCAATAATAAATTACTGTGAAGAAAAATTTTATTTTGTTGAAAAAGAAAAAAATATATCTTTAATATCATATGAACATTGTGGACCAGTACCTAAGTTTTCAATATATATAACTTTAGAAGATTCTGGAGATATTTATTTTACTGGATATAGCCAATTTTTACAAATTAAACAAAAGAGTTATTAAATATTATTCTCTTTAAGTCTTTTTTAAACAAAGGAGTTATTAAATATTATTCTCAACTGGAGAATGCTGTTAGTTATGTTATTAATAATGAAACAGATTCTAAGTGAGCAAGTTATATTAGGCATCAAGTAGCTTTATTAAATAACTCTTGGTTAATAATGGATTACTATCGAGTAAACCAAAAAACATTTCAATATTTTAATGCAAAAAAAGTTCCAGCATACTATCTTTTAAATGACACTGTGCATATTTTAAAATGTATTCAAAATAATTGGATCACTGAAAAATTACAATGTTTAAAATATAGATTGCTAAATGATAACGATACTGTGCGACTTGCAGAATGGAAATTTATAATTCAACTTCATGCTGCAGATAGTCGAATAGTTAAGTTGTCACACCACAAAAAGCTGTGTCACCAAAACCAATTGAACGACAAAATGTTGGATTAGTTCTTAAAGTTTTTTGTGATGAAACAGTTGCAGCATTACGTGTAAAATTTCCTGAAGCTGAAGATACTGCACTTTTTATTGAAACAGTTGTTAAGTGATGGCTTATTGTCAACAGTAAAGCAAAAGGTCTAGATAATAGATTAAATGATATTCGAAGAAAGCCTATTACTTCAGTTAATGATTGGCAAATAGATTTCTTAGAGAACTATATTTCGTATTTTGCTGAAAATTTGAAATGCGTAAATTCAAAATTAAGAGAGAAAAAGTTAACAATGGATACTGCAAGTGCTCTGCAAAAAACTTCTAAAAGATTAGCAAGCTGTGCCAAGTATTTGTTGAATTGTGGTGTATCTTATGTATTGTTAGGACATATGCAATCAGATGCACTAGAAAAACAGTTTAGGAAATATCGGCAAGGGTCAGGTAGCACATATCTAATAACTGTGCAAAATGTTATTCAAAAATTTAGAATCAACAAAACTAGAAAGTTGCTAGACAAGCATACAGATTTTACAATATTTCCTTCTGCTCACCACCACTGTGATAAGTGTGAACTTGATGTGGAGTTTATTATGTCAATATGTGAAAATTGTGAGGATTAGTTGCCAAATGAATGCAAACAAGGACTTTTATATATTGCAGGTTTTATTGCTTACAAACTTCCAGAATTACATTCAATTTTAGAAGAAACAGACAGCTTTGATATGTTTCAAAAATATGGAACTTTGATCAGTTCTTTGAATAGGGGAAGACTAAGAGAACCTTCTGACAATTTAGTCTACTTTGTTTTTTGTTTTTTTATATTTGAAGTGACACTTGTGAATAAAGTTTCACCATTGCTGTGCAAGAAAGGATTAATTGACATTTTTATTAACTGCAATAGTAAATTTCAATTGCTTGTTCAAAGTGTTAAAAAAGTTTGCTGCATTTTGGCAAACATTTTTTTAAACAATTATTGTAAAAAACACTCTGAAGATTTTGGGAAGGAATGTTTAATAAAACAAGCAAAACTTTTAACTTCAAAATAAAATACTTTGAGTCAAAAAAGTCAAAATAATTTTAATAAAATAAAGTTAATATATTTGTTTGTTTTTATCAAAAAATTTATTATTTGTATTACAAGTGTTAAACAGCTAAAATAAACATATAGTTATAAAAACGAGATTTAGTCATTTTTAGCTAAACTCCTTAAATTTTTATTGTAATTAACTTATTTCTAAACGTAAAAAAAATTCCTACAATATTTGCTTTCGAAATTCAATCAAAATATTTTGTCCTAATAAAGCTCTTTATTTGTTTCTGAAGTTTGTTTACAAAAGCAAAGTTAAAAAAAAATTTTAACCGTAAAAAAGTCGGCCTTCGCTAATTTTACGGAAAATGAGCTGTCGCGGCCTGTTTAAGAAGGCCTCGATATATATATATATATATATATATATATATATATATATATATATATATATATATATATATATATATATATATATATATATATATATATATATATATATATATATATATATATATATATATATATATATATATATATATATATATATATATATGTATATATATATATATATATATATTCATATATATATATATATATATATATATATATATATATATATATATATATATTCATATATATATATATATATATATATATATATATATATATATATATATATATATATATATATATATATATATATATATATATATATATATATATATATATATATATATATATATATATATATATATTATATATATTTGTATAGATTTCGATATATAGAATATATTCGAGGCTAAGTATTTTGATGTAATAATACGAAGTCTCCTGTACGTGTTACAGTGCTCAATATTACTGAATAATAGAGCTATATATAATTATATTTAGATGAATAAAAACAACTGATTAGCGGGACTTAAAGTTTCATGCCCCATGAAATATTACTGAATAATAGAGCTATGTATAATTATATTTAGATGAATAAAAACAACTGATTAGCGGGACGTAAAGTTTCATGCCTCATGGGGACATGAAACTTTAAGTCCCGCTAATCAGTTGCTTTTATTCATCTAAATATAATTATATATATATATATATATATATATATATATATATATATATATATATATATATATATATATATATATATATATATATATATATATATATATATATATATATATATATATATATAACTCAATAAATGTAACGATGTAGTTGAAAAACAAAGCGGTTATTGACGACAAGACTTTAAGGTCTTGTACTAGATCCCGCGTTCTTCCTCTTACAAACTTAATTAATCTTGTAATCATTCTATTATATTTTTGAAATTATTATAATTTTAAAACAACTAATATTGTAAAAAAAAAGAACAAAAAACAAAAAAAATTAATAAAATTAAATGATTGAACTACTGGTAAAAGCATTTTCGAGGTTTGCAGACAGCATACAGTTGTACATAATGCCACTAATAAGATATGTAGACAGCATACATTGGCATTTTGTATTTTCAGTACAGTTCTGCATACCTGCAAATTGATATGTAAAACTGTATGGTATTATATACCACCAAGTTTTTACCGTATTTTCTTACATGGACATGAGGTTGTACAAAAATTTTCTTTAATTATAGGAATGCTTTCTAAAAAAACTTAAGAATAATGTTACTAAAGTTTTAAGAAATTTTGAGTGCATTTTTAACGCAATTTTTTGCGAAGAAAAAACTAACATCAATGTATTGGGAAAGCTTCTTTGTTTCTTAGATCCACTTATCAGAAACTATAAAAAAAGTTTGAGAAAAAATAAACTATTTGATCCAGAGGTGATTCAAATTTTAAAACCATCTTTATTTCTTGTTTCAGTTGTGTTACAACCAATACCGCCATAAATATTTAAGCAAATTAGTTTTGAAATTTTTTTTTTTTGTAAGTAACGTGCTTGCTATACAAAAAGGTCTGCACAAAAATCAAATTAATACATACAAATAAATTTGTTTTTAAGACTGTTTTTAAAGGTCGTAGCTTTAATTCATTTCTTAAATATGGATTATATAGTACTTTCAAAAAGTAGAAAGTAACTGATTTTTAGCTGTATAACAACAGCAAAAATTAGTAATTAACTATGTGTGTATTAATTTGAATACATAAAATAGTTTTCAATAAGATTGTAAAATTATTATGTTACAGGCTGCTTAAAATTTGCTTTGTTTGAAACATTGGTGTTTTAAGAACTCTTGCATGGTAACTA